CATCACACCACTACCACCAACATCATCATCATCATCACTGCTAAGATTATCACTATCATAGTCTTCCTCTTTAATCATTTTCATCATTTTTTATCATCACCAAAATGCAGCATCTCTTTCATCTGCCCACATATACATCATTACTACCTACTTGCGTGCCTGGAATGCAACGTTACACATGTATTCACATTTTATTAACATCAATAGGTGTCTAAATGTTTGTGCTGTATAGATTTGTATGTGTGTGAGTGTGTGTGTGTCCGTGTTTATGTGTGCGTGTGTGTATGCGTGCGTGTGTGTATGTGCGTGTGCGTGTGTGTGCGTGCGCGGGCATAATTTGTTTCGGTTTCGTGACCTGTTAAAGAATGATGAACAGTGAATATAAAGGAAAGTTCCATGAGGCCATGTGACATGGTCACGTGATATGGCTATGTAATGTCATCACGTGATGTCATCATTAAATGCCATCACGTGATGTCATCCGGTGATCCGGTGATACAATGATGTGATTTGGACTGGCGATGTTGTCATGTGATATTTTTTTTATCTAATTAATATCCATTGATACTATCATAGTCTAGTATCCTTAGTCACTATCATCTGAGGTTTCATCATTGGCATCACTGAAATCAATTTCAGAGCGATCATTATTTATTAATCTCGTCTCCATCATCAATATGTCCGCATACGTTGTCTACATCATCAACAACCTCATCATCATCATCATCATCGTTAACAACATCATCATCTGAAACAACCTCATCATCATCATCATCATCATCATCATTAACAACATCATCATCATCAGCAACAACCTCATCATCATTAACAACAACAACATTATCATCGTCATCATCTTTAACAACATCGTCATCAGCAACATCACCAGCATCACCAATGTTCTCCGAGTTTGGGCAAATACACGATGAAGACTGCGTAGATGTGTTTGTTAGTTAGTCTGCCACCTTCTTTTTTGTTGCTTGCTAGCAAATATTCTTGAGAGTCCCTGCATACAAACCTGTCTACACGCACGCACACACACAAACACACGCACACAAACACACACCCACACATACACAAACAAACACACTATTTCAGTCTACCACAGCAATAAAATTAAGTTGATTTTAAAAAAAATTGTGTGATAAAATCAAAAAATAGATCGTCAACTTTTTTAACATATTTAAACACCAATATGGTTGTTGCCTTCGCTATTGAGCATCAAACACATAAACTCAAATTAAAAAAAAATGTGTACAAACGTTCCCTTGTACAAATCAACTCATACGCGCATGCATTCAGAGAAAGTTACAGATGACACCCACTAGATTTTGCTTCTGCATATCACACAGGAATTAATCGTTATGGATTGTACTAATTTAATTGCACTGTCTTTCACAGACATTCATACATTTTTGGATATTGTACCTTCGATACTTTTTCAGCATTGGGATTTTGTATCTATCGACAATCCTACTGTGTGTATCCATCACAATAAGTTCTGAGGGGCAGAGTCAGGTAAAAAATTGTTTTTTAATTTAAAAAAAACAGGAAAAAAGTAATGGTTGAAAGAAAATTTGAGAAACTGAAAATTGAAAAAAAATGAGATAAAGCAAAAAAATTTAAAATTCGAGATTTATTAATCTGATAAAAAAAACGAAGCAGGGGATTTAAGAGATAAGAGGAAGAAAAGTTATGGAAATTTTAAAAAATAATAAAGTAGCAAGAAAAAAATAAAAAAGGATTACAATAAGATGTATAAAAATAAGGAAATATAATAAAAGTAAAAGAAGCGAGAAAGATAAGAGTGTAAAACCTGATGTAAAAACTGATAAAAAAGTAAAAACTGATCGATACATTTAAAGAGACGCTTTGCTGGTTTCCGATTGGTTGGCTGGTTGTAAATAAGAAATTCAATTGATGGGTTTGGGTGATTGGTTGGTTGGTTGGCTGGTTTGTTAATTGGTTGGTTAGTTGGTTGGTTGGCTGGCTGGCTGGTTAGTTGATTGGCTGGCTGGTTGATTGGTTGTTGGTCAATTAATTTGTTTACTACAATATCAATTATTTGATTGACTCTGGTTGGTTGATTGGATAGTTTTAGTAATTTTGATGCTAATTGAACTTTTCAAAAAACTAGTCAGAAAATTTTGAAACCTTTTTCAAATGAAAACTCAATAAAAAATAATAAAGAACTAAATGGAATTTGGCGATAAAAACCATTATTTACCGCAAGCATTGCGAAAGTTATAAAACTATCCAATTTATTTCAGGCAATATAAAAGTAATATAATCTTCCAATTTATCTGGCGCCATAAAAACCGAGGCGAATCCTTTTATCTTTTGCAGGAAAGTGGCGATAATATTTTGGAGAAAAAAAATGTCGATTCGATCAGTTTTTAGTGTCGTTTTGTTTTTATGGCAGTGGCAACGACTTTGGTGTGGCCGAAGATGACGATGATGGTGATGATGATAAAACCGTTAATGATGACAAAATCAACTACAAAATAACAGTAACATTACTACCCTTAACAACAACAACAGCAACAACAGCAGCAACAACAAAAACAATACTACCAACATTAATACTAGCAACTACTACGATGGTTGGCAACATTAAAGTGAATGAGCCCAAAATGAAATTTTTAAACGCTTGGACGGCGCTTGCAGAATATAAAATCAAGGTGACAGTACTCAAGTGATGTGACGTCATTTTTTAGGACTGGGCGGTTTTTTGGATTTTATTCACTAATTTTTTTTAATTGAAAATGTTTTTTCATGTTTTTTTCTTCATAAGGAAACAAACATTATACATACTCAATTGATTTTTACGCGGAAACAAAAACATCCATCTCCACCACCACCACTACTACTACTACTACTACTACTACTACTACCACATCTATTACTTTTACTACCTACCTACTACTACTATTACTACTAATAATAATATTAATAGCAACAACAACAACAAAATAATTGCAGACGAAATATCCCATTCAAGTGTGGCGTTCACACAAGAGTTTCAATGAAAAAATGATTTTTTTTAATCAATTTTGTGTTTGTTCTTAAAGAACTAATTTGATAGTTTAAAAAATTCTTTATACAATTTTAAAAAATTACATATATAATTGAAAGTTTAATTGTACAATACGAAAGTTCAATTAAATGACTGATTAATTAAAATTTTAAACAATGTTACCAGAATGATTTCTTTGATTTTTTATTATTCTTATTATTTTTATTCATTTTTTCAAATATTTTTTTCATCCATTTTTTTTAAATCTTATTCCAAAAAAATTCTTTCTGCCTAGAGTAATAATTGTTGCTTGGACTTGAAGCAAATCGCGCTTGCTAGAAATGTGGTAGTTTAGTAGTAGTAGTAGTAGTAGTTGTTGTTGTTATAGTAGTAGTATTAGTAGTTGTAGTTTTATAGTAATAGTAGTAGTAGTAGTAGTAGTAGTTGTTGTTATAGAAATAGTAGTAGTATTAGTAGTAGTAGTAGCAATTGTAGCAGTAGTAGTAGTTGTATAGTAGTAATTGTTGTAATAGTAGTAGTAGTAGTAGTTGTTGTTAAGATGTAGTAGTAGTAGTAGTAATAGTAGTAGTAGTAGTAGTAGTAGTAGTAGAAGTAGTAGTAGTAGTAGTAGTAGTAGTAGTAGTGGTAGTAGTAGTAGTAGTAGTAGAGGTAGTGAAATATTTTTTCAATATAAATTTGTTTAATTAGAACTTTTTTAACAGAGTTATTAATTCTATATACAGTAGAAATGCTTCACAATGAAATAATGTTGGCTCTTCTAATTATTATTGAAAATGGGGCATAGGTGAAACAGGGGAGTGCGGCCTTTGTTTTTGTTTGTTTGTTGTTGTATGTGTGTTTGTTTGCTTGTGTATGTGTTTTTGTTTGTTTGTATGTTTGTTGGTATATGTGTGTTTATTTGTTGGTGTATGTGTGTTTGTTTGTAGGTGTATGTGTGTTTGTTTGCTTGTGTTTGGTATGTTTGTTGGTGTATGTGTGTTTGTTTGTTGGTGTATTTGTGTTTGTTTGTTGGTGTTTGTTTGCTTTTGTTTTTGTTTGTTTGTTTTTTTGGTGTATGTGTGTTTGTTTGTTGGTGTATGTGTGTTTGTTTGCTTTTGTGTTTG